TTGTATTGTTTATATTTAAATAAAACTTTAAAATTATTAAAGAATTATTGTATTAAATTAATCTAAAAATCCAAAAATGCCTAACCTAGATCCTGATCCAGCCAAGTTTGAATTCTAAACTATATATTGAGAATTGTCTTGGTTTGGTTCCCAATCATTTTATTACATGTCGGATCCAAATGTGGAATTACCAATTTCAACTTGAATCCGACCCCTTGACACCTTTAGTGGGTAAAAATCAATATATCCTTAAATAATGCCAAAAAAAATTATAAAAGTAAATTAACGATAGTAAAATAATAACATCTCTAATCTCCATGATTCGTAAAATATTAGTATCTCTCTTTTAAAAAAAAAAAATTGAACAATATTAACATCTCTAATATCCATCATTTTATTCGAGAATGATGACTCATTGGCATGTGAGAGCATACTAAAAGAGCTACTATTAGTCAATCTCTAAAATCCTAGATACTTAACTATCTATACTCTTTTGGATTTAACTATTATTGGCCCCTGTCGGGGTTTCTATCCCACATCGGCTTTGGGGGGGTTGGGATTTGGGTAGTTAAGTCCCTGGGAGCAATCCAAGAGTTGCCGGCTTTTGGGCAATGTTTTAAAACCCGGACCGTCAATTGAATCGGTGAGGTGAAAGGGTCGAGGTTCAACCGGTCGGACCGGTTCAACCTCGATTCAATGAATTTTTTTAAAAATAATTTATATAAATATATATATGCACAAAATAAGACATGCAATGGACTAATTTAAAACTTTATATGATGAAAAGTTCACTATTTTTGAATAATTTGGATTTTCAAAAATAAATTATTTAAATTATAAGTTAAAATAAATAAATTTCATCTCAATTTCAATTATATCTATCAAAAAAATCTTAAATCCAACCCAAAAATATCACAATATTTTGAAATTATACAAATTCACGTCTATGAGAATTTGATATTGTGAACTTAAATTTTAATTTACGTCTTTGAGATTTAAAGATTGTAATTTAAAAAAGAAAGTTTGGAGTTCGAAAGAAGTTAAGAGAATTGAAAATAGAAATGCAAACTTGATAAGAAACAAAAAATGAGATAAAAGTGAGTGGTTGTGGCATTAAATAATTTGGGTTAAAGAAAAATAATTCTTTTTTAACTTTTTCCAATTTAATGGGCAAAAACAAAATTAAAAGATAGAAGAAAACATCAATAAATTAGAACTAATGAGGTTTGATTAAAAATGGAGTGACAAAAGAAAAGATGAGGGAGAAAAGAAAGAGTTGAAGATTAAAAAGAAATAGTCATGAGAGGATGAGATTTTGTAAGAAAAATGGAAAAATGAAATATAGATGTTTGTTTTATATAAATAAGTTATCAAAAAAAGCAAATAAGATGTGATGGTGCAATGGTTACTACATTGGTCTTCTATTACAAAGGTTTTGAGTTCAAATCTTGATAGAAGCATTTTGCAAAAAGTAAAAAAAAAAAAATAAAATAAAATAAAATAAAAATAGGAAAACTCAAAAACCGGTTCGATCCGGTTCAACACGGTTCACCGGTTTTCCCGATTTTTACCGGGTTTGACCGGTTCTCTGGCAAAGTCAACCAGAGCATAGAATCGGACCGGTGCCATGGCCGGTTCGCGGTTCAACCGGTCGAACCGGCCGGTCCGGTCCGGTTTTCAAAACATTGCTTTTGGGTTGACTTTTGGGATTAGGTTTAATTAGTCAAATTTTCGTTTCTCGAAAGAAGGATTTAACTATTATTTTCTCGAAGTATAGGTCACTTATATCGGGTCTCTTTCTAATTAATCAAACTAATCAATTGTTAAAAAAATCATCAGCCATCACCTTCACAGTAGGCTCCACTGACTGTTGATGATTCAAAATCGTGTGCAAATTTGATTCTAAAAGCCCCACCAATCACATTTCTTCTGTGGCCACTGGCCATTTGGTCCGATGGTCATCACCCTCTTTGGTGATGCTGGAGGTCAAGGATTCAACCCCTGCCTCTCACAAATTTGCCACTTTATGTGGCTGGTCTTCTGCCCCCACGGGATAGCTCGAGCGATCCGCTCCCCCTCCTTAGGGTATGGCGACCTTCCTGGTTTGTCCAGGATTCGAGTCTCGCTGTTAACGTGCTCAGTGTGGAGTGGGACCTCCTCTCCCGGGTCGCAGGGAATTAGTCGAACCCCGTAAGAATTGACCCGGACACCCTGTGTTGACAAAAAATAAATAAATAAAAAATCACATTTCTTCTGTCAAATGACACTAATCTTCTGATTCCATTCTTCCCAACTTTTCCTTTAGATACCACATCATCTCCCCGCCTCTCTCCCCTGAGTCTTCATCACTGAAAAACCCGATCCAAACTCACAAGGCTGAGACAAAAAAGGAGTTGCTGTATTGTTTTCACAACCATCAGAAGCTAGCTGAGCTCCGATGTAAGTCTTTATATAGCTCAATGGAAGATTACTTCTTTTCTTTTCTTCCCTTTAAATATTCTGCTAAATTTATGGAAGATGCTATTTTTGGTCGAAGCTGCCGTTTCTGGTTTTAGTAATTTGTGTTGGTGAAGAAAGGAGAAGAGCAGATTTTTGTTTTAGGCTAAGAATAGAAAAGGTACAGGTATTGCGACAGTTGAGTTAGTTTGCGTCAGATTGTTGGCGGTCCGGATTGGGCTGTGGTTCACGCGAAAAAACAAAAAATTCTGAACCATTTATCTTTTGTTTTCGGTGGGGGTTAAAAAAATGAGTTAAGTTACTCCATATTTGAATCGAGTTCGATTTAATAAGAATTAGTTTGAATTTGGTTTGTTAATTAATTAAACCAAACTTACATAATGTTTTGTGTTTTATAAATTTTCAAACTCGATTCGAACTTGATTTTATTAGCATTTTTATGCTAATTTTATTAACATGAAATGATAATTTATAAGTAAAAATTACAAGCTACTTGAGCTCAATTTGATCTCGATTCGATAAAAGCTGGTCCAAGTTTGGTTTGAAAAATTAATAAGCTAAACTTGAACACATTTTCAACATTATTAGAATAATCAAACAAATTTAAATATTAAATTGTTGTACATGGTTAGACTCAGTTGTAGTGCTACATTTGAGAGTCATCTAAGTTGGGCCACATTTGGTGCGACCCATTTAGGCCCAGATCAGAGTGATCTGGAGGTTTTTATATTTTTTCGTCTCCCTAAGACCGGATTCTATTTAGCTTTGGGCCACTTTTGGCTAAGTCTTGACATACAGACAACGCTTGAAAGTTCAATTCTCCTATTCCTAATATTTTGATTAGTCCTTATTAGGTGTTTGGTTCGTATTTCGGAATCAAAATTGGAGCCTCAATTATAAACCTCATCATGGATGTGGTTTTTGTTCATCTGCCCTCACGATTTGGCATTGGAATGGGTTTCATTCCACTGAAGAGTTTATCAACTTTTTTATTTCGAAGCAAGAGTTAATCAACTTGAAGCGCAAGTGGGACACGATAAAAGATAAAATCTATTACTTTCATTACCATTTAATGATTTCCATTTTGGTCTACCGAACAATAGGCATAGGTATCCTTAACTTTAATATATACCGATAGAGATAGCAATTAGGGCGGGTGCCCATTGAGGGCTAATGGAGCAGGGGCGAATTTTTTCCCAATTTAGAAATGGGCCCGGGGGGGGGGGGAGTATACCCCCATCCTATCCCCCACCCAGCCATCAGTTTAAAAAATTAATAAATACACATATATGTATATAATTATATATAATATTTAACTTAATTATTTACAAACTTATAATAATGATATTATTAGTTATATGCATTATATATTGTATATTAGTATTTGTAATATAATTGATATTAGTAATTATACTAATAATTATACATGTCTACTAATAGAAATTATTAAGTAGCTATAATAAATTTATTAATACATTTATATTAAATTCCTAATTACACTTGACACAATAACACTTTTTCTTAAAAAAATACAATAATGATTTAGTGATTGTATTTATATCAAAAGTGAAAACTTGACTACTTTGGTTGTATTTATTCTATCATGTTGGATTGTATTCAAATAACTTTTGTTTGATTATTTTTATGAGTTTCAATTGTGAAATTATAATAGATCATAACTTTGTGATGTGTTAATATCTTAGTACTTGATTATTTGTTAAAATTTGACTGTAATAAAATTATATAACAAATTTTTATTAGCTCCATGGAGAAAGTAAGACTAGACGGGGAGAGCGGGGGATGGGGGCGAGGGGAACTAATGGGCAGCGGGGAGGGTGGCGGGGGAGGGATCCCCCACCCGAACCCCGCCCGATTGCCATCCCTAATTATCGACACTTAGACTAATTTACCAAAATGAGCACTCTTAATTCCAGTACAATTTTGTCCTTTTGTAACTTTACCAATTTTTAGGGATAATTGTTTATATTGGACTCCAATCATTTGGGCTGCAAACCATGGTTGGGAGCCTCGCTTGGTCCAACCAGTTAAACCCTCAACTCCTCTGCCTTCCAGTCTTGGTAAGTACAAAACCTGATGGGGTTAAAAATTGTTCAATTTGGGTAAACTCAGAAGGACCGGTGCTAGTTCAGCCATTAACCTATTGAACCAAGATTATTTGTAATGAATTTGGTATTGATCCCATTAAGTTTAAGTCGGAATTATATGCCTTACCAGTGGATGCTTGTCGTCCACTAATTAAAAAGACAATCATTTTATTTATCTTGTGATTTCTCTCGCGAATTCTTTACGTCGCTAGAAATCGTTTAAACTTTTATTTGTCTTTTTTAGTTTTCAATCTAGCTTGTCTTTTACTTTTTAAGTGGGTAAAGATACATCTATTTATTTTTACTAATTTATTTCCTTTGCTTGTTATTCAGTTTTGACCAATTGCAATCTACACATTTGACTACATTGGACTTGTGTTAGACCTATTTATCCTAACATTCCAGTCATTACTTACAAAAAAGTGAACAGCACAAGAGATGGAAAACAGGGAGAAAGACTACAAAGCTCATGTTTTGGCTATTCCATTTCAAAGTCCGGGCCACATAAATCCTATGCTTCAGTTACGTAAGAAATTCATACGTAAAGGTCTGAAAGCCACACTAGCCATCACCAAATTCACCTCCAACGTTATGTATACAAAATCAGACATAGTCCAGATTGACATAATATCAGATGGCTATGATGAAGGTGGCTTCTTTGTCGCTGACCCTGTCCCAATCTCCATGGCTCGCTTTAAAGAAGTTGGCTCACGATCAATCATTGAACTCATGACGAAGTATGAATCCTTAGGGACTCCAATTGACTTCATCGTTTATGATTCCTTGCTACCTTTTGTGCTTGAATTCTGTAAAGAAGTTGGTTTACCTGGATTGGCTTTCTTGACTCAACAATGTGGTGTTAACTACATAATGCACCAGTTTTATCATGGAAAGTTGTCTAATCCGGTGTCTGAGTTTCCAATCTCGATTCAAGGATTGCCGCCAATTGAATCTGCAGATCTTCCTTATTTTGAGCTGGAAAAGGAGGTAACCATTCTTAGATGCTTTGTTTTCTTGTTATTGACCGCTGCAAAGTTTAGTTCATTGACAATAAACTGGTACTCATGAGTATTTTGGTGCATGTGTCTCGGTGCATGAACTAAGTTCAGTATTTCTCGTTAAATAAACAAAATATTCAGAGCAAAAACAATTTTGGGGGTAAACAATTTTTCTCATACAAGCTGGATCTAGCCAAGTACAGATCCTAAATTACATATCGAGACCCCTCTATATCCATCTCCGAATCGTTTTATTATTGAGTCCGAAATTATGTCATGAACTAAATCTATTAGCTAAGGAAAGTCCAGAAATGAATTATCTGGATTTGTTAGTAGGAGAAAGGGAAATAATTATGAAGATGAATAAGAAGAACAATAGGGAGAAGTAGAAAAGATCTGGAAAAGAGACGGGAATTTGTTATTGAAGATCAGGAAGAAAGATACCAATTCGGTTACAACTTCCCTATCCTTTCGGAACAATATGACTTGATTCGAGTCGAGCTCGTGCTCGAAAAAAATAAAAAATAAAAATTGTTTTTTAAAAAATAAATAAAATAATATTTTTTTATTAATAAATAATAAAATAATAAGGATATATATGTAATTTTACTATTAAAATTTAAAAAATAAAAAAAATATATATAATTATAATAAAAAAAATAAAAAATATATATACTTAAAATAAAAAAATAAAAAAAAATATACTTAAAATAAAAAAATAAAAAATATATATACTTAAAATAAAAAAATAAAAAATATATATACTCGTGCTCGCGAGCCTAACGAGCTTAATATTTTGAGCTCAAGTTCGAGATCGATTTCGACTCGAGCCAGCTCGAACTCGACTCGAGCTGGTCGCGAGCGGCTCGATTCATTTGCAGCCCTAGTTATTCTATTCTGTACTCTTAAGGCATAATATAAAACAATTTAAAGAGGTGGAATTGGTTGTTCAGAAAAGTTAAAAAAAAATTTTTTTGGCTAAAGTTTCCTGAATTTAGAGGGAGATGATAATGTTCAAAATTTAAGCTAAGTCAATTTCTTATATTTTGTATGCTTATCATGTGTCCTAAGAGGACATAATACGAAAAACAACCTTCAAGAATTAAACTAACCATACTAAAATAATAACATCTCTAATTTCCATGATTCATGAAACATTAGTATCTCTCTCTTCTATTTTAATTAAACAATATTAACATCTCCAATCTCTATGCTTTCACTTTCTTTCTTTCGAAATAAATATTATTTAACTCGAGAATGATGACGCATAGGCATGCGAGAGCAAACCAAAAGAGCTGTTAATCAATCTCTAAAAATACTATATAGTACCTCTAATCTCTGGGATTTATTTATTTAACTATATCGTGCCTCTCTTTCTAATTAGTCAAACTAATCAGCCGTTAAAAATTCATCAGCCATCTGATTGGAAATCGTGTGAAAATTTGATTCTGAAACCCCCACAAATCACATCTCGTTTCTTCTGTCAAATGACTCTAATCTTCTTATTCCAATCTTCCCAACTTTTGCTATAAATACCACATCTCCCAAAACCCACCACCCGGGCCCCCCGGGAGTCTTATCTTCATCACTGGAAGACCGATCCAACTCACAAGCCTGAGACAAAAGGAGTTGCTGTTTTCCACCCATCAAAAGCTAGCCAGCTGAGCTCCGATGTCAGTCTTTTCCGGTGTTCATTTTTTGTTTTTTTGGTGTGGTATTTTACGTGGCTCCATGGAAGATTACTTCTCCTTTTCTTCTTCTTAAATTTTCCGCTAATTTTATCGAAGATGCTATTTTTGGCCGAATCTGCTGTTTCTGTTTTTAGTAATTTGTATTGGTGAATAAAGGAGAAGGGCAGATTTTAGTTTTAGGGTAAGAATAGAAAAAGCATTGGGTTGGGTTGTGGTTCACCTGATATGATCTGAACCGTTTATCTAAGCTACTCTATATTTGAATATAATCCGGTTTGATAAGAATTAATCCAAATGTAGTTCGCTAACTAATTAAACCAAAATTAAATAGAACTTTGTGTTTGGTAAACTTTCAAATTCCTTGAGCTTGATTTTATTGGCATAAAATAGAATTTACAAGTAAAAATTACAAGTTACTAGAGCTTGGTTCAATCTCGATTCAATAAGAGTTAGATTCGAATTAGATTTCACAAAATTTTAAAATAATCAAACAAACTTAAATATTACGATGTTGCATTTGACTAGGCTTGTTTATAGCTCTAATTATAAGAGTTATCGGGGTTGGGCCACTTAGGTGCGCCCCATTTTAGGCACAGATCGATTTAATGATTTCATTTTGGTTTACCGATCACTAGGTAATTTTAATATACACTGTCGATCCTTAGACCCAAAATGAACAATCTTGCTTCCAGCTCAAAATGATTGTTGGTATCATCATTATTATGTCCTTTGCCCTGCTGTAACTCTACCAATTTTTTTCAAATAATTGTTATTTTGGACGCCAATCATTTGGGGTGCAAACCATGGTTTGGAACCTGGCTTGGCCCAACCAGTTAAACCCTCAACTCCTCTGCCTTCCAATCTTGGGAAGTGTAAAACCTGATATGGTGAAAAATTGTTCATCAATTTTGGTAAACTAGGAAGAACCGCTGCTGGTTCAGCTGTTAACCTGATTGAACCGAGATGATTTGTAGTGAATTAATCAGGTCAATGGCCCAATGCAATTAGTTCCTTAAAAATTGGCTGAAATTACTCTTCATTTTATGAATGACTAAGTTTGAATTGTATACCTTACCGGTGCATGCTTGTCTTCCACTAATTAAAGACACAATAATTTAGTTTACCATACCATTTCTCCTGTGAATTCTCTACCTAGAAATCGCTTGAACTTTTCTTTGTTTTTTCAAATTTTCTATCTAACTTGTCTTTTACTTTTAGGTAAGCAAATATACATCTATTGATTTTTACTAATTTATTCCCTTTGCTTGTTTTCCAATTTTGACCAATTGAAATCTACATATTTGACAACATTGGAGTTATGTTATTTTCTACTTGTTCTAACATTTCAGTCAAATTGCTTTTCCGTGCAAAAAAGTGAACTGCAAAGGAGATGGAAAACAGAGAGAAACAGTACAAAGCTCATGTTTTGGCTATTCCATTTCAAAGTGCGGGCCACATAAATCCTATGCTTCAGTTATGTAAGAAACTCGTACGTAAAGGGCTGAAAGCAACACTAGCCATCACCAAATTCACCTCCAAAGTTTCGTTTCCAAAATCAGACAAAGTCCAGATTGACATAATATCAGATGGCTATGATGAAGGTGGCTTCTTTTTCACTGACCCTGTCCCAATCTCCATGGCTCGCTTTAAAGAAGTTGGCTCACAATCAATTCTTGAACTCCTGAAGAAGTATGAATCCTTAGGGACTCCAATTGATTTCATCATCTATGATTCATTGCTACCTTTTGTGCTTGATCTTTGTAAAGAAATTGGTTTACCTGCAGTGGCTTCCTTCACTCATCAATGTGGTGTAAACTACATAATGCACCAGTTCTCTCATGGAAAGCTGACTAATCCAGTCACTGAGTTTCCAGTCTTGATTCCAGGATTGCCACCACTTGAACATCAAGATCTTCCTTATTTTGGCAGTAATATACCATATCATTTTGCATACGTATGTACGCAGTTCTCAAATGTAAATCAGGCGGATTATGTCCTTGTCAACACATTTTATGAGCTGGAAAAGAAGGTGAGTCTTCTAATCAGAAATTTTGTTTGATTGAGATTCCTTTGTACTTGTATTTGTATCTCTCTGTGGCTCCATCACTTTCTTTTCTACTTTATGTTAAACACTTTCTTAGATGTCTCGGTGTATGAACTAAATTCAGCATTTCTCATGAGATAGACTAAATACTCAGAACAAAACAATTTGTGGCTTAACAGAGACATGTTCTTTGTTGAATTTCTTCAATCTGACGGGTGTGCTTGATTTATTTCTGTACTGGAAATTGCACAAGGCAGTTCCAGAGAAATGCAGGTGGGCTTTTTACTGCTTTTCAATGGGTTCCTAGTTAGGCCATAAACAGAATCTTTTGACTAGTTGAAGCTGCTGACGGATACTACTTACTAAGGAGGTTCATTAAGTGAAAATTTTGCAACTAAAATCAGACAAAGTTTTCAAACATACTATGTCAAGCATAGGACGCAGATCATTCATAGTCTTTAGAGTATCCAGAAGTTCATCTAGACTGATGAATTTGTGATTTTGATATTCCTTAGCTTCATGGAATGATGATGTATGAATGGTTTGACATTATCCTTCGTTGCTCATCTAACTCATTCAACGCAGAATCATGTTGAAGCTACAAATAATTGTAAAATTTGATCCCCTCTCTGTTTTATTTGGCACAGGTGGTGGATGAATTTTCCAAACACTTGCCAGTTCTGACAGTAGGGCCAACAGTTCCCACTTTCTACCTGGATAGGAGAGTTGTAGATGACAAAGAATATGGAATCGCTTCAGCAGACAATGACCCCTCAATATGTTTAAATTGGCTAAATAGCAAACCAGCCAGGTCAGTTATTTACGCATCGTTAAGTAGCGTGAGGTCTGCCAGTTTCGGCGAAAAGCAATTAGAGGAACTTGCTTTGGCTTTGAAGAACAGCAACTACCATTTCTTATGGTCTGTCAAACATTTTGAGGCTGAAAAGTTGCCAAAAAATTTTAAAGAAGAAGCATCTGATAGAGGCCTTCTCGTCCCATGGACTCCGCAATTGGAAGTACTTTCGAGCGAGGCTGTGGGGTGCATTCTCTCACATTGTGGTTGGAACTCAACACTTGAAGCTATAAGCCTAGGAGTGCCGATAGTGGCAATGCCACAATTTATAGATCAACAACCAAATGCTAAGTTTATCCAGGATGTTTGGAAGGTGGGGATCAGAGTGAAGCATGATAGCAATGGACTTGCAACAAGGGAAGAAATTGGACGATGCATTAAGGAGGTAATGGAAGGAGAGACAGGAAAAGAAATAAAGGAAAATGCTATGAAGTTTTCCAATTTGGCTAAAGCGGCAGTTAGTGAGGGTGGAAGTTCAGATG